TTGTTAATCTGCACCGTGGAGTTGTGGACGAGATAAATAACATGTTCTCGCGACTTTGGAATCCATATCGTCAACTCGTCATCTGTTTGTTCTGCATTCTCTAAATAATCCGCTTGTCGCCTTTGTTAGCGGCGGCACGTATGGCTCTCTAGCTGCCTGTGTTCCAAACTTCAAACCAAAGCTGATGCAGCCAACGGCGACATGAAGAAGACGTCTCCTGCTGACTTCTGCTCTGCTCAGTCGGTGGGAACGCGGCAGGCGGCAGGCGGCGGACGGGGCGAGACGGTCGTCCTTGGCAGTAGAGACTAGCTAGCGGGCTGAGGTAGCTTCCTTGTCCATGGCCCTGCGATTCTATCTATCGCTTATTTGTTTGTTTTGGAAGTTTTAGCGACCTGTCGCGCTCGGTGGATATCCGCCTGCCTCCGCGCGCCCGCCGCCGGCTGGCACGCTCGCCCACGGCTGCGGCCCCCCACCCGAGCGGGCTTCGACCCCCGGCCGCGAGGGCCAGCCGCTGTCGACGGAGTAGCGCAGTGTCGAGGCGGGTTGCGACGAGGCCTGTTGACATGTTCACCTGGCTGTTGCTGTAATTTCAATTTCTAATTTCAGTTTCCAATTTCATTTTGTAATTTCAGTTTCTAAATTTAGTTCAGCAATTTCAGTTTACAAGTCAATTAGCTATGTAGTCATTTTTAATAATTTGCTCAGTTGGCAGCTTATGCCATGCTTGTTTCATAATTTGCCTCCTAGGTTGCAGATTGTTTTGTTTCATTTTTTCTTTAATTTCAGTTTAAATTTTCATGTGCTTGGAAGTCATATTTCTCACAATTTGTCATTTCACGATATCTTGCCACTTGCTCCAAATATAACTTGATACATACTTTGTAATGAAACTTGCCACGTGTCTTAGATTTTTGTTCTTCATTGTGTCTACTTTACTTTTTAGTTTTGTTTATTTTTTCCAATTTCAGCTTTATTTTCTAGTTGTCAATTTCAGTTTAATTTTTTGGTAGCTATGTTTTCATTTTTAGTTTTATTTTCTGTTTGCTATTTAATAATTTGTCTAGTTGACAGCTTATGCAATGCTTGTTTTAATAATTTGTCCCCCTAGGTTGCAGATTGTCTTGTTTCATTTTCCTTTTAATATCAGTTTAAATTTCCATGTGTTGGGAAGTCATAATCACGATATCTTGCCACTAGCTCCAAACATAACTTGCTATATACTTTGTAATAAAACTTGCCACATGTTTCAGTTCTTTGTTTTTCATTATGTCTACTTTAGTTTTCAGTTTCTTTTTCCTTTTTTGTTTTTCATTGTGTATACTTTAGTTTTAGTGCTTGTTTTTATTATGTAATTAAACTTGCCGCTACTCTTGTTTTTTTTAATAACTTCTCCTAGTTAGCAGTTAGTTGCATTATTTCTACATGAATTATGACTCGTTTTACAATACATAAGTTAGTAACAAATCTCACTAGCGACTCGATTCATGTTATTACAATTTTTATTATATTCCCATGATAACAAACGATGTGCATACCATGCAATATTTTTGAAGTAGCAACTTTAGTATTATATGGTAGTAACTCTTTTAATAAATCTACTAACACATATTTATACTTAAATTGCTACTAAAATAAAATTCTTTAAAATATATGCAACTGACGTCTAGTTTTGTTCGTCTCGCCCGATGCAAACGAAATTGAAAACGGACAGAACATTCAAAACTTATAGCAATTCAAATAAAATATTTCGTTTCTTTGTTTTGTTTCAGCCGGGACCACAGGCAGACACGTCGCGGCGCACCACAGGCAAACAGCAGGGCTTGTCGGAGCGCATGCATTGGCTCGCTGCATGCAGAAGTGGGTCGGGTCATGTGTGGGTCTGTTGGAGTCCCGGGCTACGCAGCTTGTTCGTTTGGCTCGCTCGTCGTAAACGAGATAAATTTCTAGTTAGAATAATATTTTTCTCTCATACAAACTAGCCAGCAGTACTTCTTCACGAACCAGCAACGATACGAACCGGCCAAACAAACATGCTGATAGTCTTGCGCAACGGGTCGGGCATTATCCCTGTCCAAGTTTTATGGCTCGCCGACGATTGCATCTCTTTCTTAATAAGTTAATGGAAAAAAATCACGAATGCATCTCGTAATTATCTATTATTATCTATATAATTCCGCCGCCGGCCACACGCAAGCTTCCGTCCTTCAAGTTGGGTGGAACCAAAGACACAAGAACCCAAGAAACCAATGCCCATTAACTCGTCGGTTTCTCTGTTTTTGGTGTACATTCAGTTTCAGTCTCCCTGTAGTGTAGTCGAGGAAACCAAAGCATGAGAACCCATTGCCTATGCCGGCCAATATACTCCATGTAGCATCTCATATAATTATACATAATTCCGCGTCCAACCTCATGCAAGCTTGCTTCAAGTTCGCTCTTGGTTATTATTAGAACCAAAGACAAAAGAGAACCGAAGAAACCAACGCCCTTTCACTTGTCCCTTTGTGTCTGTTTTTCCTACCAGCTTAGGTGTTCATGAAACCGAAGGCCCGCCATGCCGTGCCCACTAGTATTAGATATCCAACACCACGTCCACAAGTATTCTCTGTATCCCATCCACTGAAATCCTTGCCACACCAGCAAGGTGAATGCTAAGCTAATCGACCACCACCACCGGACACCGGCTACACACCATGAACAGTTGACGTACGTGAGGCTTCTTGAGCAGCTCCCGTCACCGCTTCTAGTCCCAGACTCCCAGGTACCTCGAGCTGCCCAAGGGCCAGCAACGTCCACAAAGATCTAGGGTCGTGGAGGAACAGGCTGCCACTGCCAAACGAGGAGCGTGACAATGGATACTGCAAAAGGCATCTGGTCAGCCGGCGGAGCAGGGCATACTCCAAGCACCGACGGAGCTGCAGCGCGAGCAGGACAGCCTCGACACCAAGCTACTGTCTGCTCGCTCGCTTATCAGTCGCAGGCTCGCAGCGAGTGGGGCATGTTCAAGAGCATGGAGCTGGACGCCCTTCTCGTGTCCAAGACCAGGACACCTCCGGCAAAAGCTTGAGGACGCCGGCCGGAGCAGGGCAGGTCAACTCATGTCCTCCTCTCTGAATATTGCAAAACATGTTATCCTTGCTAGGAGAAAAAGGGTAAATAAGGATACCCAAGATAAGCTTGACATGGTTATGGCTGAGGTTAAGGAAGTGCTATCTTCAATGGGTCTTGATCGTGTGCAGTTCATGCCAACAACAACTGAAAGTCATCACCGCTTCTCAAGTGTATGGCCGTGACACAGAACGGGATCAACTGATGGAGATGCTTGGTGTGACTGCAACCATTGACCGTGAGCACCAAATTAACCAGGTGGTCACAAAAATGATCCCACAATCAGGGTCTAAATGAAAGAGCACGGCTGCAGCAAGCCCTGCTGGCGTCAACGTATCTACACCCAAATCAGCCAAGCGACATAAAGGTGATAGTAGCAGTAGCGCCAGTGCCCGACTTGGTCAGACAACCAACTTCAGTGGCAACGTTTCTGTTTTGCCACAATTTTTGGCATTGGAGGGATGGGGAAGACCACACTTGCTCAGCTTATCTACAATGATCAAAGGGTGAAAGCTCACTATTCCATCAGGTTATGGGTCTGTGTTTCGGACCTCTTTGACATTGAAAGAATGACAAAGGAGATTGCTAGGACCATCTGTGATCCAAACTTTGACTTATCTTGTGGTTTAACTTATCTTCGAGCAAAGCTGAAGGAGCAGCTGAAGAGCCAAAAGTTCCTTCTGGTGTCGGATGATATTTGGCAGATTACCCAACACCAATGGGAGTCTTTCTATGCGTATTTGAGGGATGGACTTGAAGGAAGCATGATCTTAGTGACTACAAGACACGAAAACATTGCTCACCTTGTCACAACCAGCAACTGTAAGCCTGTCCAACTCAAAGGATTGCCCGCAGATACATTTTGGGAATTCTTCCAGAAATGTGCATTTCGTAGAGAGAGCCCAGAGTCATATCCTCGCTTGCAAGAGACTGGTTGGAAAATTTCCTCTAAGCTGTGTGGTACTCCTTTGGCTTCCAAAACTCTTGGACGGTTGTTGCGTACTAATCTGACCGAGGAATTCTGGACTGCAATCAATGAAAGTGAATTGTGGGAGCAGCAACAACAAGACGGTGAGATATTACCTGCCCTTCGACTGAGCTACTTGTACCTCCCATATCAACTTAGGAGATGCTTTGCATTTTGCTGCATGTTTCCAAAAGATTATAGCTTTGACAAGCATGAGATAGTTGATATTTGGGTGGCACAGGGCTTTGTTGCACCAAGGGGAACATGCATCTTGAAGACATAGGGATCAGATACTTGAATGAATTGACAGACATATGTCTTTTCCAAACTGATCCAAAGTTCCCTAATCATAATAGATATGTAATGCATGACTTGATCCATGATACTGGGCTGTTGGCCCGTCGATCTCCGTTTCGGAGGTATCCGACCACTCTCTGGTGTTGCCGAGCACACACTAGCGATGACGACCACGAACTGTCGTTGCCGACCACACACTATGGCTAGAGGTAGAAGAAGTGAGGGAGAACAGAGCACACACACAGCAGAGACACCAGCGTTGACCGGAGCTCTGTAGAGATGGTAAATATGAACTCTCTCTTTACTGAGTTGCAGTGGCAAACTATTTATACAACTCTATTCATCTAGTCCTAGTACAACTGTTATGCTGCTACAGTGACTAGATGTGACAGCAGGGCTGACTTTGGAGCCTACCCCTGCTGTGGCTACAGTGCGTCAGGTGAGCCGTTCGGCGCCTGCCCCTGCAACTGCTATAGTGCAGCAGCAGGGTGCTCTTTTCGGCGCCGCCTTCCCCTGCTGCGCATTCATACAAGGGATGCAGCAGATTATCTAACATGGGCAACATGTTTCTATACATGAATGCTTGTTGATGACAGATTTGAGCTACTTTGGGAGACATGAGTTTCGCCATATGTCGGTTGAGGTGGATGCTGAATACTTGAACACAATGAAAAACATTCAGCATTTGAATAGATTGCGCTCACTTAGGTTTGGTAAAATTTTGAGTGCTGAGATCACCTGGTTCAGTCAGCTCTCTAACATCCTGTTTTTGAGCCTAAAAGGTTGCAGGCTGGTGAAGCTACCTGAAAGCATATGTGAGTTGAGTAGCCTCCGTTATCTTGATATATCCAACAGCAAGGTAAAAGAACTGCCAAACAAATTCTGGTGCCTTTACAGCCTACAAGTTGTTGATGCAAGTCATTCATGTATGGGAACAATTCATAAGGATGTAACGAAGCTAATCAAATTGCGTCAACTAGCACTGCCAAACAAAGCCTCTATCGCCTTATCGAAGCTACCTGGGCTAGGAAATCTGTCTTGCCTTCGACACTTGAGGTATTTTACAGCTGGGAATCAGGAAGGGTCAATTGCTGAGTTGAAGGCCATGAATCAGATCAGGGGAATGCTATCTATCAAATCTATTCATAATGTGAATAGCCAGGAAGAGGCTTCTACAGCTAGGCTCGTTGACAAGAAATACCACAAGGAATTAAATCTAATCTGGCGACTTAATCCCAGAACTAGCCGCCTGAGCCCCCATGAGAATGAAGTGGCCGATGGCTTGAGCCCTAATGAGAGAATTGAAGGCCTTAAAATACATGGCTTTTGGGGTAACAGGTTACCAAGTTGGTTGAATCCAGAAAACCTACAAAATTTAAGAAGGCTGGAGCTTTCCCATTGTTTTTGCTTCGAAACTTTATCGATCTCCCACTTTGGTGGTGGTACACGAGGTGAATCAACGGGTCAGCGTGCAAGCAGCAGTGCCAATTGCAGCAATGCCAGCGCATTCCTTGCCTTCACACACCTCACTCGTATAAGCATTATGCACTGCAATGGGCTGAAAAATCTTGACCAGTTCCTGTCCCCGAAGAACCTGCCATCCGTCGAGGTCATACATCTTCTGGACTGTAGCAATCTGGAATCAATACCTGCCGATTTTGTGGGATTTGTGCACCTCCGAGACCTACTTCTTGCTGGTTGTATCAGTTTGGTGTGCCCACAGTCACGGGAAACGGTTTTCCCCTCTTCACTCCAAAGGCTATATATTAATTCTTGTGGTCAGATTGACAGCAAATCATTTTCATTCTGCCTAGAGAAACTCACCTCTCTAAGTGTGCTATGCTTGGTTGGATGTGACAACGTCGAGTCGATTCAGCTGGACTCGATCTCCTCCAGAAACACGCTCAAATTCTTATAGCTGCAAAGATGCCCGAAGTTATCATCCATTGGTGGATCGGGCGTCCCTTCTTCGTCCATAAAGTACGTCAAAGTATCCGACTGTGCTAAGCTAACCCAAGTATCACAACCCTACAGAAAGAATGCACTATCGACCGAAGAGGCGAATGAAATCAGAGAGTTTGTAGGTACATTGTATTATCACTGTAACTAGAAAATAAGTAGAAAGACTTTTTGCGGACAGATATAAATGTAGACATGTGTGCGTGCTCTGTTATTTTTTGTGTATTTGCAGGGGTGACCTATTCATCTGACATCAATTACGCATGTGGTTAAGATTAAGTATTTTTGTGGTTTTTAGAGTCGTCTACAGAATTGATTTCATATTACTTCCCATCAACCTGCAGCTGTGGAGTCAGGTTAGCTATTGATATTGTTTGTCGCTATATTTCAACTATATATGTTAAACAACTTTTTGATTAAAACAAACTTGAGTCGGTAGATTAGTTGGTGTGCCGCTGAGTTTTCTCTGCACACTTAGGTTATTGATTTGTTATCTCTGTACCCAGTGGCGGAGGGAAGGAGGGGCTGAGGGGCCCCGGCACCCCAAACATTGCTAAGCCTTCTATATTATACATCCTTAATTAGCTAGTTCATAATTTAATTAGCTAGTTAATGATACTATTTGTGTTTTCATTTCTTGTCCTTTCTCTTTATTAATCTCTAATAGCATCTTACATAATTAAGCGTTAGTTTTTTCTGTTATACTTTTCATCTATTATGTTCTTATTATAATTATCTACCGAACATCTATTTCGTCCTCACAATACCCCTCTAATTAAACTATAATTAGTGAGCTGTTTGTTTGCTCCTTTAAAAATGATCTCCAATAGCATGTACATTATTCAGGATTAGTCCTCCGGTTATCTTACTTATCTTCTTTATTCTTGTTATTTCCGTATTACCGTGATTCTTTTTTTGGCCTAAGAATAGATTGATCACATTAAGGTTAGAGATCTAGAGCAAATTAATTTTGTTCTATTTTTCTCTACAATAGTTAGTGTTTTTTTAGGTTTTCAACTTTGTTTTGTATTATAATATAAACATATATCTAGTTGTTATGTATACTCTTGTCGTGTATATGTATTTCGATATGCATGGTTATTGTTGGTTTGAATGCCCCTCCCGGCCCCTACCTAAATCCTAAATCCTAAATCCTGGCTCTGCCCTGTCTATACTCCGCACATCCCACATGTTGTTTGAATTAAGGACCAAGTGTTTTCACTCTTTTGCCCGCGTAATCCATTCACAAAGCGTTCTCCTGTGCAGTCCAGCCTACACTCCACACAATGGGCCTGTTTAGATTACCTACCAGACAACGAATCTTGGCCCTAGGAATCCAAAATCAGATGCCGGGGGTGTCTGCCTGGTTCAGTTAGCTTTTTGAAACTGTGAGCCAAACAGGCCTAATATGCATGACACCTGATCTACAGCAGTGTGGCACGGCACCACCTCCCTCCCACGCGCAATGGTTCCAAACACTAGATACTTGTATAGATTCATTAAAATATTTTTAGAATTTTGCAGATAACAAGGGGAAGCAGCAAGTTTCTTTAGAAATAGAAAGTGGTTTTTTTCAAAAAAAAAAAGAGAGAGGAGGAGAACCTATAGCTTTATTGCATTACAATGAACTTATATCGTATCATAAATGTGTATAACGTGCTTCTCCACTGTGTTGTTGTAATCCTGAGAAGCATTTGTTTATAATTATCCTTTATTGTTGTATAGTCTCAACAATTATGTGCGTGTTTTTCTTTTTTTGTGTGTGTATATATAATAACATACAACAATAACATTCCTGCAGCACCGTTCTCGGTGGGGTGAACCGAATGGGAAGAAAAGTTCAACCGGCCTGCTGAAGTGTGATGTGCCCACGGCCCATGACAAGTCCGCAATCCCCTCGTTGTGCTGACTCAGGGAAAGCGTTCGGCCCAACGGCCCAGCTTCCGTGCTGCGTTCGGTCATAATCCAATAGGTCATAACTGTACCAGCGGTGGCCCGGATTTCTGGCAAGGAAGACCCAAGACTGCCGGCTCCACACTGTCTTGGCACCGATGCCATTCTCCTCCCCGTGCACACCACGCTTGATCAGTGTCCAGTTTGTCCCGAGGCAGTTTCGCCGAGGCCGTCCTGTAGGGTGAATGACGGGGGACGACTGGGGGAAGGAAGGAGAGGCGTAGGCACCTAGGCGGTGGTGTGCGGTCAGGCCGCCGCCGCGACCCGCGAGCAAGTTAAGCGAGAACTAGCGTGGCGCGGCGGAGATGAGTACCAGCATCTACTCCCTCTGTCTGTTATTAATGTCGTTTCCGATTTTCGTGCCACAAGTTTGATTATATCTATAGAAAATACGTATAATATTTATATCTTTAAATAAATTTATTAAAAACCTAGATTAAAAGATTTATCTTATCTAATGATATCAACTATGCATTATAAATATTAATATTTTTTTATATAAATTTAATCAAAGTTATTTGTCGGGAAGCGAGAACCCTAGATATTTAGGGACGCAGGGCGGGCGAGACGAGGTACAGACCGACACTGTCCTCTTTTCCTGTGCTTTTTACAGTTGTCTGATCAAAAAGTTAAGTTTACAGGAATACGAATTATTTAGCGATACATCCTGCGGCACTAAAAAGAAAGACCGGCCTTTTTGAGGCAGATAAATGCAGACATGTGTTCCTCGCAGCCAAAGGCAACCTGAAGAAAACGTCCCCTGCTCTGTGTTCAGTCCGTGGAAAGCCATGGATCTGATGAGGTGCTGCTGCCAGATTAACCAAGCAGAAAGGGAGGAAAGGCCGAAAGGTTCTCCACTGATCTGAGCATGAGGATTTAAGGCCGGAATGAATAAGAAGATGAACACAAAAAAAAAATGAATACACTCCTGTAGTACTCCTATATATCAAATAAATAAAAGGCCTGTTGTACCTCACTAGTTGTGTACTTGTGTATATATTTGTAGTTCGGGTCTCCGGTAAGAAACAATCGCTTCTATATTTCAATGTGATTTTGAGAGAATCAGAGAAATAAAACCGGGTGGATTTTGAGAGAAACAGAGAAATAAAACCGGGTGGAATATGTCAAAGCTAGATCAGTAGGGCCTTGTTTAGATCCCATCAAGTTCCAAGTTTTTTCATTTTCTCTCCATCACATCAATTTTTAGCCGCTTGTATGGAGTATTAAATGTAGGTAAAAAAAATAACTAATTACACAGTTTAGTTGGAAATCACGAGATGAATCTTTTGAGTCTAGTTGGTCCACGATTAGACAATATTTATCAAATAAGACGAAAGTAGTACTATTCATCAGGTTGAAAAAAGTTTCAATCTAAACAAGGCCTAGATGGCGGACTGGTGGTTATCGTAGACTCTAGCTGGAACGCTACAAGAATTCCACCAAAACCTTTTGTGACTCTCCTATGAAATTCCAAGAAACTCATGTGCTCCCAAAAAGGATCGAGCAAAAATGCTAACAAGTGGTCTGTACTCTTTACAGACTCAGCACTGCATCTTTCTTTGACGGGCCGACAAACAGCCTTGTCGGGCCTAATACTAGTCAGCGCATCCAAAGGGGGAAGAAGTCTAATTTACCTCCCTCAACTATCGTGCTCGTCCAATTTTTCTCCCAAATCTACAAAATCAGTTTTTTAACCTCCCTCAACTTTTGAAAACCGTGTACTTTTGCACTCCGAAGGTTTTGATGGTGGTTTTATTGATGTGACGCCACGTCAGAGGGAGTAAATTGAACTAAGTTGAAAGTTCAAGGAGGTAAATCGAACTAGAAATATTTTTTTAGAAAAATATCTTTAAAATTATAAATTATCAAATATATTTTTACAAAACATATATAATTAAAAACCCTAAAAGTTTAATCTTAGAAAAATCATATAAAATTTATTTTAGCTCAAAAATGATGGAACTAGTTTTTGATTTTTAAAAAAAATCTTGCTCTATGTTATGGTGCTGAACTTAGGTTAACAAGATACTTTGAAATTTTATCTAGGGCAGGGAACCGATGTCCACTATGGTCCTGGCGGTGCTTCACTAACGCTTATGTGTAGTTCGGATGACCAATGTCGACTAATTATAATAGATACAAGAGCTTCTACAAGGAAATAAGCACAAATATGAGTCCATTGAGATTCAAACAATTTGAACCTGGACACCATAACTTAGAGCGTGATTTTAGAAAAATCTAAAACAAGTTTCATAATTTTTTGAGCTAAAACAAATTTTATATGAATTTTCTAAGATTAAACAAGGTTTTAGGATTTTTAATTGTATTATTTTTTCATGTGTAAAAATATATTTGGATAATTTTAATTTTTAATAATTTTTAGATATTTTTTATAGATAATATTTCTAATCCGATTTATCTCCTTGCACTTTGAACTTAATTCGATTTACCCCTTTGACATGGCGTCATATCAACAAACCACCATCAAAACCGCTGCAGTGCAAAAAGTGCACTGTTTTTAAAAGTTGAAGGAGGTTAAAAACTGGTTTCATAGATTAGGGAGGAAAATCGGACGAGGTTAAAGGAAGTAAATTGGACTTCTTCCTCCTAAGGGTGATCGAGGCCCATGGCCCAACTACCATGGTGTTCCTTCACTCGTCGGCCCATCAGTAACACCGATGCGGCGCCGATCGATGGCCGTGGCAGCAGCGGCTGCCACTCCGGCGACGAAGAGAAGACCTGCCCGCGTCCTTCTCCTCTCTCTGCAGCTTCCCCAGCCGCTCGTGGTGTTAGTGTGGGAAAGGGAAGGCAGAGCGGGGATGTGGGTTCGGCTCCGTCGTGTTCGCGAGCCACCGCGGCCAACAGTCTAATCGAGAACCACCGCGGCGGGAACATTGCGAGCATCCAGGTAATCATCTCGAGGCGCGCAATTTAATTCTATATCTGGGTTTCATGTTGTTGTTGTTGTCGTCGTCGTCGTCTGCGAACTCCATCCCAATTCCATGTCAGTTAACATGCTCTTGCTGCTAAAGTGCTCAAATTGGTTGTCAACAACGTTTTCAGAGCATCGATTCAATTCTGCCTGGAAATGATGCTTATACAGATGGTTCCAACCAATTGACTGTCTGAGATCTGCTCTGCTCACAATTAACCGTCTACAAACCCATGTCAGTTAACATGCTCTTGCTGCTAAAGTGCTCAAATTGGTTGTCAACAACGTTTTCAGAGCATCGATTCAATTCTGCCTGGAAATGATGCTTATACAGATGGTTCCAACCAATTACACTTCCTTATCGACCTGAAGCAATTAGGTGCTGCACAGCACTGCCGTGGGAAGCAAATCCGAATGGCAAATGCTTGTTTATTAACACGAATAGAACTCCGGTTCAAGGATTTAGATAGCATGAGCGCATGAAACATGAACCACACACTTAATGTTGCAGAAACCCGATCAATCAAACATTCAAAGCATAGTGTATATTGGTGTAGCACATACAGTACATTACCAATTCAAATGTGCACACAAGCATTGCACTTATTACATGAGAGACCATGCAGCATGAATGCTTCACAGTCGATACAGAGGAAAGCCACACAAGTCCAAATCCGTGAGCATGGACACAACCATTATGCTCAACCATAGTGCCAGGACACACATGTAAAACAAGTTACCGAACGCACAGACACATTCTGTCGACACACGTGCAGAATATAAATGCACACCACACACAGCGGATAGAAACACACTGTGGCAAATCATGTAAGCACACGAATAAAAACCATGGGAGGGACTCGATGGTGAACCTTTAGTTCCTCCTGCGCCAATCCTTGTCCTTCCAGATGTATAGGCAACTTGGAACACTATCCTCTTTTCCTGTGCTTCTTACTGTTTGATCTTGCCTCTCCGGTTTGTAGTGTGTACAATGAACCGTATCTTTGTGTTTATCAAAGCCTTCTTTCACCTGGTCTGGTAGAGAGTGCCCAGTGAACTCAAGTTCCTTCAATCTTGGAAGGTGCTCGATGCCAGATAAAGTGGTCCTTTGGTCGAAGGTCCATACGATCTTCTCAAGCTTAGGAGCAGACCCATGCTCGAATTTGATCTCTGTGATTTTAGGGCAGTTGACAATAAGAAGGTTGAGTTTTGCGAACTCATCTTTGTTTAAATCAAGCCGGCTTTGGTTATAAGACCCATGCAAGAGCACCAGGCAGCGTATGTTTTCCATCCTTGCGAGGGTTCGCATACCATCTTCCACCAGCATCGTACCACGAAGAGTCACCTTGGATATTTGTTTGGCATCGGAAAGCAATCTCGGAAGCAATATGTTGTTACTGGAGGTGGTGGGGGCAGAGAGTGAGGGATTGGCGGCGTCAGCAGTGGCAATATGGGCTGTGGGATTGGCGGCGCTCCCAGTTGGGGGAGAGGGGATGGGGTGAGTGCCTGTTGGGGTGGAGCGGACGACAATGGTAGTGCTCGGGGGAAGGGGTGAGCGATTGGTGGCGCCCCCAGTTGAGGGAGCGGGAGCAGGGTTAAGGCCTGTTGGTGTGGAGGGGACATCAGTGGTAGTGTTCGGGGGAAGGGGTGAGGGGTTGGCGGCGTCAATTGTGGAAGTATGGGGTGAGGGGTTGGCGACGCCCCCAATTGAGGGAGAGGGGGCGGGGTGAGTGCCTGTTGGGGTGGAGGGGACAACAGTGGTAGTGCTCGGGGGAAGGGGTGAGGAATTGGCAGCACCCCCAATTGGGGGAGAAGGAGCGGGGTGAGTGCCTGTTGGGGTGGAGGGGATGACAGTGGTAGTGCTCGGGGGAAGGGATGAGGGATTGGCGGCGTCAGCGGTGGTAGTATGGGGTGAGGGACCGGCGGTGCCTCCGGTTAGGGGAGAGGGAGTGGGGTTAGTGCCTGTTGGGGTGGAGGGGACGGCAGTGGTAGTGTTTGGGAGAAGGGGTGAGGGATTGGCGGCAGAGGTACCAGCAAGGGCGGATGGGTCTTGGTTGGTGGCAGCAGTGTCGGTGTTGCCTCCACTGTTGTTGCTGCTCTTGTTATATTTGTTCAGCTCAAGCTCCTCCAATTTTTTAAGGTGATCTACTCCAGCAATATACTCTATGTTGTCAAAGGACAAAACAATCTTCTCGAGCTCTGGAGCTGCTGTATCTTCTTCAAAACTGATTTCGATCCAGTTGGAGCCCTCGACAAGAAAGTACTTGAGTTTCTTGAATTCATCCTTCTTGAATGTGAGTTTGTTGTCGCTGTATGTATTGTGCCGAAGCTTCAGACATTGTAACTTGGGCAGATTGGAGAGGGCCCCTAGGATAGTCGGATTCAGTGAGGCGTTACTTAAAGTTACCTTAATAAGTGGGGTATTTTTGTCGGTTAGCAATAATGGAAGAAGCTGCCCCTGTAGTATGTTTCCACTGATACTGAGCCTCTCAAGAACCTTGGGGGACTCTCTGGTTTCGTTGTCAAGAACCTTGGGTGACTGTTTCAGCTCTCTCCAATCTATGCTACGAGTGCCCTTGTCTCTGGTTGTGTCAAGAGTAATTGACAGAGACTGGAGGCACTCATGCATGTTGCTGATAGCTTTAAGCAAACTCGTGTGGTGAGTATCCTTGTCCTTGATAACCACACCAAGCTTCCTCAGCTGCCATAGCTTTCCGATGTCTTCCAAATCTTGGCTATTCTTTGCCTTGACATTGGATAGTACCTCCATGTCTAACATCTTTTCAATCTTTTCAGGAACTAGGACATGGTTGTGGGATGATGTGTCTATGCTGATACTGTTTGGATTTGGACTTTTGTTTCCAGCCAGCAGACGCTTCAGCTTCAGGAGCAGGAGATCTCTTGTGAAAGACTCCGGCACCTCTGTATGCTGGATGTCCAATACCTCCAGCTCGCGAAGGTTGTTGATTTCACGGGGCAGCCAGTTGACATCTGTTCCCCTTAGGCTTAGATACTTGAGTAGCAATATGTTGCAAATATTCTTTACATACCACCGGTTGCTCTTGAAGCATTTGCAGCCTTCTAGATCGAGCACCTTAAGCCGAGACCATTGAGCTGATTCAGATAACCTTTCCAGGAAATCGTTGATTGTGTCGGACACACGGAGATGGAGATCACTGAAAATGGAGAAGTGCCAAGCCAGATGATGTGACAAGCGTGCCTCCAAAATGCGTTGTTTCTTGGCGATCTTGGTAATGAACTCATAGGCTAGGTCACCCACCATGCAGCTCTTGACCCTTCCAGTCGCACTGATCTCAGCAGAATAAACAAGCCCCCTGTTGACGAGAACGTCAAAACATTGTTCAGCTTTATCCACTGAACTTGACCAGCGCCAATCTTCTGTTGTTATTTTCCCTTCTGCAACCCATCGCCCTATCAAGGTTGACCGCCTTATCTTGTGTCCTCGAGGGAAGATAGCTAGGTACAGTAAGCAGGACTGGTACTGTTTAGGCATGTCCCTGTACGAGAACTTGAACATATTCATAGCAATACTACGGAATGACTTTGGTGGAAGCACCTGCAGGGCGTCATGCAACTTGTGCAGTTCTTCTTTGCTTCTCTTGAGCATGGCGTACAAAGTGTGAGCAAAGATCTTCATGCATAATTGATCTGGATCACACTTGTCCAAGATGGCGCGGAAAATCTGGGGATCATAGTTATCTACATTCTTATGCTGGCTTGTAATCTCGAGCACAATACTATGGTAGAGTGCAGCAAGAGAATAGTCTATGGGCTCCCTTGTTGGGTAGCAATATTCTTCTCTGGCCCTTTTTTTATTTCTCTCTGTGTTGGTCAGAATCATCACAACGGCGATGCAAGGCAACAGGCTCAAGGCATTTCTGGTCTGCTCCCACTGGCTCACATATTTCCCGTCTGCTTTAAGGATGATCTGGGTTTCTTCATGTTTCAGATAATTTTGAATCTTGTGCACAATTCCATTGATATCCAGCTGCCTTTTAATCCTCCACTGGACATAATATTTCATCTTCTCTTTGGTTTCTTTGATAGCATCATCCAGGATTTTGGTCTTCTCCGTGGCTCCGCCATCAACATTAGCTTCCTGGGTTTGACCCTGAGCCATGCTAGCACCGCCGGTTGCTGGCTCGCCCTTCCCCTTCGTTTCTTCAGGAAGAGCTTCTGTGGTTGGACCCTGACCACCCGATACACCTGTTTCTTGTTTCTTGTCAGGTTTTTCTTCCTTCAGCTGCTGTATGATTTCCAGTTTAGCCTCCTGGATCATTCTTTTCACTTGATCCTCGTTCAATGTGGTAGTAATATTAGTCTTTGTTGCTTGCTGCTGGCTCTTGTTGTCAGTGATTGCCATGAACACCTCGCTCAGGATTTCTTGTTTAACCTTGTCGACAATTTCCTTGATTTGATTCTTGCTTGATGTAGCTTCCCCAGTGACTTGTTTGATGTCTTGCTCCTGGGCTTGTTGGGGCTTGCTGGCGCTACTGATGGGTGGGAACACCTGATGCAGGATGTGTGTATATTGGGTAACATTGTGAATAATCCGCTGTTCCGCGCTTACTCCTTTATTTACTTGCTGCATATGCCCTTTCAGCATCTTGGCTGTTTTCTTGATAATGTCATCGTAGTGTTCTATTAATGCAGGCTTTGATTTCCTCAGCACAAGCAGTACCAAGAGTACACCTAAGGAGGTTTCTTTGGAGATTTTGTCTTGTACTTCCTTTTTCTTTGGTCCGTCGAGGACATCCAGGTACGGCTTCAGCTGCTTGTCCTCCTTGGCTTTTTCAATGTAGGTCGTTATCTCTTTAATCTTTTTTATAACATTCAAAGCTTCGATATCTTCCTTGATTTTTCTAATAACTGCCCTTTTTTCCTCGCGGATGTGCTGCCAATCAATCCCTTGGCCTTTCTGCTGCTGCTGCTTCTGCTGTTGGGATTCGGATTTGGCAGGCTGCCGGAGCTCGATCTCCCTCAGGATGTAGTAGAGGATATTCTTGGGTCCTAGCACACTCCATTGGTGCAATGATGGGATGTCCACCAAGATAGTGTTCTTGGCGTGCTCCTTTGCCACAGCCGAAGCTTGACGTGCAATGGCACTGGATTCCGCGCCAGGCACCGCAAAGGCAACACATCGGGTGTCGTATCGCCATTCGCTTTGCCTCCACTGACGTTGAACTTGCTCTATCCACTCGGCTAACTGGTCGTTGAAGTAGTCCTCCAGGACATAAAGTCCAAAGAGGGCTCTTCTGATTCGACCAGAACCATCAGTCGCCGTTGTCCCCACTTGGTCGTGCCCGTCTTCTTCATCGTCGAGGTGGACGAAAGCAGCTTCCGTGCTGCCTTCTGCGGCCGCCGACCCAGTGCCAGGAACGGCCGCCTTCTTCGGGACCTCCACGCCGTACCTTAGCCGCCGTTTGCCAACGTTCCGCGCACGCTCCTTGAGCTTGCTAAGCTCCAAGGCAGCTCGGTGCTGCGCCAACATCTTCTGCAGGAACCACGGGAACCACCGGAGGTAGCGCCGGAGCCGGTCCCTGCCCAGGTGGATGTCGGGGTTGCCGCGGTACAGGTAGAGGTCGATGCAGTTGTTGCAGTCCTGTGCGAGCAGCCGGACCTGGTTCATCCAGGTCCGCACCTGCTCGTCGTGCTCGCTGCCGGGCGGCTCCGTCCTGGCCAGGTGCATCAGGAAGCTGTTCATGCTCTCCATCTCCTCCCTGATGAACTGGACGTCGCCCCCGACGTGGCCTAGCAACCGCCACTCGTTGCGGATGACGCCAAGCAACGAGGTCACGGCGCCCGACGCGAGCTCAGCCATGTTGCTAGCTCTCCCGCCGTCGGCCGCCCGTACGGCTGCCGCGCAGTTTCTAGCTCAATCGATTTGGGTTTAGGAGTTCAGCTAGCAAGGGTAGTGACCAACTATTCTGCATGCATATTCGCGTGCGATCTGAGCAAAGTATTTGTTTGTCCAGGCATGCGACATGGCTGCATGTGAAGGAGTCTGAGTGGCAAAGGATTTGTTCTTTGAGTCCGCAGGACATGCTACGTCCACGGCAACCAACGGCAAGTATATATCGGCCAGTTCTTCGTGCTTTATTTTTGTTCTAGTATATGGCATCTAACTATTGTTACTAACTATAAGACTGTCTCCAACAACCGTTACCTAAAATACAAGACCTATTTCACGTTTGGGTAGCGCTACAGGTAAATGGTTTAATACCCATTTTTGGTCTTCTCCAATAACGAGACCCAAAAGAGAACCCTTTCTGCAAATAGGTCTCCAGGAGAGAGGATACTTAGATTTGTGTTATACCTTGTTGGCCCACAGTTAGCCTCCCAGACCACTCGTCTCCCAGACCACTGGCCTCAGACCACTAGTCTCTCAGACCACTAGTCTCTCAGACCACTCCGTTGGTCTCACAGGATCTTCGGCTCACGACAGTGAACCACTCCAGCCGATCTTGCCGAGCACCGGCTCCGGCGAGTGGAGCACTTGAGGGTCTCGCCGAGCACGCGCTAGTATTGTCGAGCACACACTAGCCGTGCAGACCACGTACCGGCGTTGTCCGTACCCACACACTACGGATCGAGCTAGAAGAAGAAGGGAGAATAGAGCAAGCACGCACAATACAAGACAACAGCGTTGGCCGAAGCCCTGTCTGTGTGATGGCAAATCTGAGCCCTCTTTACTAAGTTGCCATACATGTCTATTTATACAACTCTAACTATCTAGTCCATGTGCGGCGCCTAAGGTAGCATGCGAAACTAGATAACCTAACGAGGCTGACTCGCCTTGCCACTTTGCTGTTCTCTGATCTTTGCTTGGTGAGCCGTCTGCGGCGCTACGCACTGCGGCGCCTCTTGTATCACAAAGAGGGGGCAAAGTCGGCGCCGCCTTCCCTTGCTGTGTTCACACACGGCGTGCAGCTAAGTCGGCGCCGTCTTTCTCTCTGTGTGTTCTCACAAGGTGGTAGTAGATTAGCTAACAATCTTCCCTAATCCTATCGCTAACCCTTGTACCCCCTCCATGCCGATCATCTCCTTCACTCCATGAGTCAAGTCGTCCGAAAGCGGCTTGGTGAGGACATCCATGAGCTGCCGAAAGCGGTTTCGACGAACTTCGATGACGATCGCCTCCATCAACACAGATCCACGAGGAAGTGGAGCTTCACGTCGATGTGTTTACTCGGTCGTGCGAACCGGATTCTTCGCGAGGGCTATGGCGGGCTGGTTGTCCACCATCGGTCTTTGGTGGGTGAGCTTCCACGCCGGTTAGCTTCGCCCGGCCGCGGCGTAGCTACACAACAACACGCCCATTGTGGCGCCGCTTCGTACTCGCCTCGCCGCGTAGATAGCGCCACCATCTTCTCGCTTCAGCGACAACCATGAAATTGGGGCTGACCCGAGGAAGACGAAATACGCCAGAGGTGCTCCATCGTCCGTCGATGTCCCCGCCATGTCTGCATCGGCGAACCGTGAGCTACAGCTACTTCCCCGGTCTTTGGGAAGATGATTCCATGATTCACCGTCCCCTTGACGTGGCGTAGTAGCCGCTTCACCGCAGCCCGATGATCCTCTCTGGGATCCTCCATGAAGCGACCGACGTAGCCCACGGCGGCGAACGCAATGTCCGGCCTTGTGTGGACTAGGTAGCCGCATCGCCGACGATGCTGCGATAGAGTGTTGCATCTACTTTCGCGGCGTCGCGTCCATCGTCGCCTTCACCGCTCCTCCATCGGAGTCACTCATGGCTTGCACTCCACCATGCCGCTCCTCTCCAACAGCTTGGAGGCATACGCGCTTTGCCCGAGCGTGAGTTCCTCCTTCCCCTGTCTCACCTCGATGCCGAGGTAGTAGGAGAGAGCGCCGAGATCGCTCATTCGGAAACGAGCTGCCATCTCTCGCTTGAAGCTGTTGATATCCTCCGTGCGCGCGTCGGTGACGATTAAGTCATCCACATACACGCCGACCACGAGTTCTTCCTTCCCCCGTCGTCGCGTGTAGAGCGCGTGCTCGGTTGCGCACCTCTGAAACCCAAGCTCGCCCGGCGTGGTGTCAAGCTTGGCATTCCATGCTCGAGGGCTTGCCTCGGCCAGTGGGCGCTTTGCGCGCGATCGGAGCACCTGTGCTCCTCTCTCCTTGACAAATAACCACGGAGGTTGCCTGACGAAGACCGTTTCCGCCAGCTCGTCGTTGAGGAAGGCCGATTTAACGTCCATGTGATGGACGCGCTAGTCCTTTACTACCGCCAAAGCAAGTAGCAAATGGACCGACTCCATGCGCGCTACTGGTGCAAAGACCTCCTCGAAGTCGATGCCCTCGCGCTGGACAAAGCCTCGGGCGACGAGGCGCGCCTTGTACTTGACAATGGCGCCGAGCTCGTCCCTTTTGACTTTGTACACCCACTTTAGGCTGATCGGACGACATTCTGGGGGTGGATCGACGAGCTGCCAAGTCTCGTTTTCCTCGATCGCCTTCATCTCCTCCAGCATTGCCCGTCGCCAGTTTCCATCGCGCTCGGCTAGCGCGAACGTGGGTGGTTCCTCTGCATCGACGAGTAGCAGCTCTGCGTCGTTGAGCAGCCTACCCGCCATACCTGAGAGACCTGTGTGTAACAGAACCGACCAATTATATGAAATTAAGTAAGAAAATCATCCGCCAGAGCAGACGACTTAGCAAACTTAAGCCCGTATAACCCGGTAGTCCGTGAAATCACGAAGGATTTCAAACCAACTTCCATTCCAGCCAAGATCGTAATAAGTTTAGCGGTCACCATCACATATTACATAAAAGTTTGCATCTCGGATACATCGAGTTTAAACATAGTTATTACAAAACAAGTTCGAATAAAAGTAGCGGAAGCCATTTGTTCAAACCACACACACTCACACGGAGTTCAAATATAGTGCCGGTGAATGATCATCTCCCACAAAAGCATTAGACGAGGGCGTAAGGAATGACCATGCCCATGGTCCTAAGCATCACCATCGCAGGATAAAGGCAATTGATACAATGGCCGTAATACATCTGCCCATCTGCAACAAGTGGGAATAAAACCCTGAGTACGAGAAGGTACTCAGTTAGACTTACCCGACATAACCAAAAATAAATGACACCAAGGATTATGAAGGGCTTTATAGTAGGGTAGCTGACTCATTTGCAAAAGAAGCATTTTTAGCACTTCAAGAACCTTCCTAAAAGCATTATTATCAATTTAATTATTATTAACCTGTCGACTAGATTTGCACCTATACTAGAGCAAACATAATTAAGCAGATAATGATAACCAATGATCATTAAACAACTTCCATAATGTCATATTCATTATAACTGTCCAAGTGTTCCATAAACATTTACTACGATGAAGTAACTCAAGTCAAGTGCTCACTATCCAGGAGCGATGGCGATTCGAATCGATTCCTAACCAGCTGGTGATTTATTCCTTACACAAACCTCACTCACCCGCTGAAGTGAGATATTGATCACCGAGTCAACTATCCAGGTATCTCGAGTTTGCCAGGAATCACATGTACCCGGGGGCCGACCGACTGCACTTTGGTCTTATCATCTCGTCCCCGTGTCCTACCACATCTGCTCCGGCACAGTGCGCTGCGGGCAATCTACTCGGCCCGAATAATCTCCCAGCTTCGCGGTCGGAATGTACTTTATCCGGCCAGCTAAATGTAAGGCATGCGTTCAACATGACTCGAGGCCCAACAACGGTCAGTCCTTAATCGACACGAGCGGAAATACTACGGTCCAAAACTACGCAAGTCTCCGTCCGGTCTCAACTTCATTTAACACTTAGTTATACCATGACTTCATAGTCATCCAAGCAGATCCGGTAACCACCTATAGCTCGCGGTGACAAGAAATCACCCGTCTTCTACCGGTCTAAGCCAGACTAAGCATTGACTCGATTGCGGATACCGGGTAACAAGGATATAGTATAACAAAGGTAGACAAGGTATAATGCAACAAACGGTTTGCAAACAACTCCTGAACGTAATGCATCAATTAAAGTAAAGCATTTAATTAAATAATTGCAAACCGGAGAAAAATGCTCCGGGCTTGCCCTCTCGAAGGAGCTCGGACGGTGATCGGGGCACTCCGGAAGTTCCTCAATGTCCTCCTCGTCGGCTTCGGGCACTTCCTGCGGCACCTCGAACTGCTCCTCGGGCTCCTCGGGTATGACGACTGGGTTCTCGGTTTGCGATCCTGTATGATGCAATGTGCGTAAGTGCTTATGCAATCGGTGCATAGGATGGGATGAATACAATGGATATGTTTGAATGCAAGGTAGTCAACATCATCCAAGAAAATATACTACAAGCATATGTCATCTACTGCATTCTCTTCTACTACTAATATGTTAAGTCAACACATTTTATTAAATGCTTCAAAGATACACCAAAGCTTCACTAATTTCTTCATCCCACAAAAAGCAACACTTAATTAAACCCTAATTAATAATAGGTTTGAATAGCAATATCTATTTTTATTGCTTAGAAAAATCTTAGAAAATTACTACAGCATAGTACTACCCTAAGTAGTTTACTATCAGATTTTCATGGTATTTGAATGAGTGGATTAGCCTACACAAAAATAACAAGCTATGGAATGATTATGAACATGAAAATACTTTGTACTGTGAAAAGTGTCAAATAACAGAGTTAGTATTTTTCCTATGTTCTTCATAGCATACAACTACTGTACAAAAATTATCACATGCATGTTTTATACAAAGTTTGCTCTCTAGCTAAAATAACAAAAATCAGCCATTAAAGGTACTTGAACTACACCTCAAAATTTTCCCAC